TTGTAAAATTCATGTATATACGCTTTGAATTATCTGTGAGTCAAGTATGTAGCCAGATGAGATATAGCGTATCCCCATGAATTCAATATTGGAAATGGATATGCAGAAAAGCAATATAATTGTTGGAGATGTGTAAGATGTTTTTTCGTGAACAGAAAATTAGATCAAAGGAAACAATAACGGATAATGCCCTTCTGTCTGTCTTTATTCCTTTCGAAACCTACATTGCAGCAAGGATTGCTAGGTATTTCTGATGAAACAAATGAAGTTACCTCTTGTTGTATTTTCTCCTTAATTAGCCGATTAATATCAGCTTCTTGAGTATCCTCAGTTAATTCAAGTTTCTTGATTGCTTCGTCAGTTTCACGTTGATCGGTTTCAAGATCATTTTTCCTAATTTAATATTCAAATTTCATTTCTTATCAAATTGTTGAATAAGTAATATTTTTTGTCATGCTTTAAAAATTCAAAATTATCAAACCTGCTCAGCGCCTTATTCATATTTCGCTGAGCATTATTAAGCACACTCTGTTCTTTTGTTGCTCCCTTCGATGCATTTTCTTTCCTAAAATGACTTTTAATTTAAAGAACCTCCTTCCTCCGTAAACGACTGAGCTCGAAAAAAGCAATATATAATGTTTACTTCAAGTAGTGATGAACTACACGAATTTCTGAAGAAACTCACCTCGCTCGAATTTCGTCAAGTTCCTTCTGATAAGGACCAACAACTCGATTATAGACCTCCTGAATCTTAGTGTTTATTTCAGCCACCTTTCCACGTACCTCATCAGCCGCTTCTAATGCTTTATCACGGGCTAGAAAGTAACTGCTGTAATTGTTATTTACAGAATGGAAGATGAAGTTTTCAATGTCTTGAAGAAGTTCAATCTGTCATCGAAGAATTCAACCTTTTGTAAGTTCTGCAACTTCAGCTTTTTTACATTGTATGTCTTTCTCATCTACGCAAACACTTCTAACTCTAGCTGTTTGTTCCTCCAGCCTGTGCTCAAGATCAGCTACTTTTCTTTCAAGAGGTCCAATGTCATTTGACAAATTCTGTTCATTTTTCTTTAGTCTATCGCAATCAGTTTGAAGCGACATCACGCGAGAATCGAGCTGTAAGTTGAATCAGAATTCGTATAAAGAAGGTGAAAATTTTCATAACGAAAAAAGTTATGATTTGCTTTAATTTTTTCTTAAAAAAAGTGTGGTGGTAGTTCATTCAACAGTAAATTTAAATATAAACCTGATGAATGACACCTCGCAAGCCATTCAGTCGATTCTGCTCTTCAGTTAGTAATTTCTGCAGCTCAGCAACCTCTTCGGATGATTCGTTCGAAGTGTCAACTTTGACACTTTGGCCAATTCTACCTCTACAAAATACATAACGTGTTCACCGTATCTACCAAATATCACTAATTAAGATAATTTGTCAAATAAGAGTAAGTACCTCCGTTCAGATCTTCCACCACCTGTCATAGAACCACTTGTTTCAACCACTTCACCTTTCAGCGTTACCACTCGGTAACGTTTCTTGCTACCCATACCAATACGTGTTGCAGCCGTAATATCATCTGCTATCAAAGTATCACGTAACGCAAAATAGAATGCAGGTAATACCGCAGGATCTGCTACACGAATTAAATCAAACAATCGAGGTGCATTTTCAGGTCTGAAAATAAATAATTTCAAACAAAAAAAGTTATCGTAGCAAGAAAACAATTGCAGTTTACTTCAATATCAACACTTTTTAAAGAAAACTTTTATGTTCATGCATATTCGCTGATCAACGTACGTGGTGGATAGCTTTGCCATATATGGACGAAGTTTTTCCTGCTTATCAAGTACCAAGAAGGAAGCAATGCCCAAATTCTCGCGCCTCAGAAATTCCACGCACATTTGAGCAGTATCAACGTTATCAACTACGATGTAATCCAACGGTCGACATGTTGTCGAAATAGCGACATCATACTTTTCATCAATTGCACCGAGATCACCCTGCAGTCGAGAAGGGATATTTTAAAAACATTGAAATTTAGACTTCGATTTAAATCCTGAAAAACTTAATTATCTCCCAATTCACATGAATATTATGATGTAGGTGTAACCTGCATCATATTACGACAACCGAATGCCACTAAACAGCAATATATCCTTAACACCGATTCGTAACGGGAAACCTACAAGACGTCCATATATTCCTGGTATGCTTCCGGATGACTTCTCGGCCATCAAGCGTCTCAGTACGTTATTCTGACTCTGAAATGCTTCCACCGTGCGTCGCTTTTGCTCGAACCTTGCCATACATTGCCGAACCTAGGAAAATGAAACTTTTGTCAAAATTAAATTTGAAGTCAAAATTTTTCTGAGAGAAAAATATATTCTTTTAAGAGGAAAAGAATGAACAACGTGCAATTAAATGAAGGAAAGAATCCCTTTGTAGAGTGCAACAAAATCGAACTATAGCACGAAAAGTGGAATCATGTTCGGAATTTCCAGTGAAATGGAAAAAAGTTTTCAAATAAAATTTTTTTACCTACTTCATAGACTAATGTATATATCATTGTTTATAGAATCTTTATATTTTATTGAACAAATAGAAAACTAACATTTTCAGCGCACTCCGCTTCTTCCTTCCGTTTGTTTATCATTTCTGACTTGGCATTATGAAGCTCTTTGTCGATATTTGGAATTGCCTGTCTTACTTTACTAAGTTCACTGAAAATATTTAGCATAAAAATCACTGCAGAGACTATAGGAACAAAGTCTACTAGCTGCAAATCCCATTATGGTGTTAACAATTTAAATTCAAATATTCTTTCAAGGTCAAAATTTTTTGTCAAAAGAATCTTAACCGAGAAAAGAGTTTTTTCACACGATTCGTAACAGCACAGAATTTGTCTGGAATAAAACGAACTGTCAGGTGCATTACTTTTCGAGCATAGCTATTTCATGTTTGCAATGATGAGAAAAATGTCAACATACTTTAGTTTGGATTCCAAGAGAACTTTTACATCATTAAGAGATGTTTGAATTTCCGAAAGTTTTTTTTTCCCACTTCCTCTTCTCTACGCATTAACTGTAGTGCTTCCTGCGCCAACGTTAACTGGAAAGTTAACACTTTATGCCAATTTGACCATCAATATCATTCAAAACAGTGTGCTTCTTAAAGTTTACAAATTTTCATTCTTTTCATTGTAGCTCTTCAGTTTTAAGACGACAATTTATGAATGCTGCTGATGTTTCTAAAATAGATAAATAAAAAGTAAAGGACTAACTTTGCTGCTTGCCTCATCCTCCTTAGCAGTAAGTTCTCCAACTTGTTCTTCTAATACCTTTTTCGGGCCTTGAAACTTTATAGTCTGCTCTTGTAGTTCTTTGAGATGGACATCGACCTACAAAACGGTTTCAACATTAATTATAGGCTTAAAAAATATGAAAGGAATATAATCATTATATGACTAAAGCGTTACTTCGATTTGCTTTTGCGCAATTACATCATCAATTCCATTTAATATTTCGCGATATTCTTCAAGCTTGCTCCTTGCTTTTGTTGGCACCTGCTCCAATTCATATATCTGAAATATAATTTATAAAGTCCAGAGTATTTAGTGCAAGCATTTAGAATCAAGAAAATTCATGATAAGGAGTACAAAATAGTATGTAAGAGAAAAACGACTTTTTCTAGAAATGGACTGCTTCCGCAATATTAGTCAACACCTACTGGTTCACCGCAATAGTTCGACTTTTATTTCTGAGCTTTTTTATCTGAGAAAATTGATGGATAGTTTCGACGCATTTCACATGTTATATGCCGGATTTTCAAAGGTAGATACACTAACAGGTGCAGGTGTTAAATCTTCCCCTCAGTTGACTCGTTAACTAGGAAGCTGGTGATTTAGATGCTTAGTATGTACCAGCAGAATGAAGAAATGGTTTTTCAATTCCATGCAACTCCTACAATACGTGTTCCGAGTATTTTAACAATGCTCAAAAAATGTTATTTCACCCAATGAAATAATGCATTGAAGAAATATCGAAGAAATCGAAGAAACTTAAAATCAATTTAATCATGCTGTCAATACTGCTTGCACTTTTTGAGTGGAATTTTACAGAATATATACAATTCCATACAAATTAAAGACTTAGTTTTGAATTATACAACTGACAATACAAGGAAACCTTTTTTTCTTCATTCGCTATGTCAGCAATCAATTTCTTCTTCCTGTCATTAAGGCGAAGCAACTCAGCCTTGCGCTTTTGTTCCGCTTGTTCCAGTTCACTAAGTTGATGCTTCATTTTTTCGTACTCTTCCTGTGTTTTTTCGAAGGATCTGAAGTAAAAAATAAATTAAGACCTTGTAATACACAGCAAAATTTCAACCTCATAAGTCCAACCAGAACCTATAAATTATACTAAAAAAACACTGGCAGAGTATATCCAATTTTAAAATAATATCCAAGTAAATCGTCACCTCTGCAGCTGTTTCTGTTCATCCTTCCTGTTCTTTTGTAAGGCTAAGACTTCTCCCTGTCGTTTTTTCGTGTCTTCCAGATCCTTCTCAAACTCCTCTTTCTTCTCCTCATCTGCCTTTAGTTCCGATTTGGCCTTACATCTAAGAATGAAGAGGAATTATACTTTCCAATTCCAAAACCTTAATTTAAATTGAATACAACATAAAGTTATCATTTTGTATCCATAACCATATTTCCACTCTTGGGTCAAAAAACATGCAAGAATTTACCGATCAGCTTGCAGTAAGCGATTCTTCGTCAGTGCAATACCGTTGTCAATACGTAGTTCTGCAATAAGATTTTTCATCGGGCCTTCAGCATCGTTTTTTTCCTTTTCTGCAAATTTCGTACGATTCAATTGCGCAGAACGTTCTTCTTGCAACTGATCAATTTTCCGCTGAATCGTTTCAATTGGAACCTTAAAATCAGTAATTCTCTTATTATATAAATAAATGTACAATATTATCAGCTTACAGAAAAAAATACAAGAAAATTTAATTTTTGAACAAAAGATGGTCAAACAAAACACGGTAAAACATAGTAGTAGTAATTATACGTAGTAATATTAGATATTAAAAACAGAGAAACAATAACTTTGAGCCTGCTCGAACCAATGATATCTTCCAAATACTCCAACATGCCATCATCATTTTCATTTAAAGCTTTCGGTTTCATCAAAGCAATTTGTTCAACTTCACCCTGGACAATTTATGTTAGCTTCACACAGAAAGCGTTATTGTGCAAGTCAAATAAAGAATGGACAATAAGCAAGATAATATTGAACATTGTGCAAGAATGTATTGTGATACCTGCAAAATGAGGAAGCGATTATGAATGAGATCGATTCCAACGCCTCGCAACAATACAGCAATATCTTTGAACTGCATCGTTTTACCATTATAAGTATATTTCGAAGAGTTATCACGGAATGCAGTTCTACTGACAGTAAACTGACTGGATGGCACAACATCATAGCCTCCATCAGGCTAAAAAAAGAAATCTCAGAAGAATCTCACTGACAAGATTCAGTCGTTTTACAAATGATTATCAGTTTTCAAACTCCATGGAGATTTTAAAATAAAATGTTTCTTCATATAAACAAAAAGCTATGCGAACCAGTAAAGTATCTGACATTGAGATGAACAAACTATCTTGTTAAACCTAGAAGTTATTTTCACGACGAGTCAGTAGCGAAAATTCTTTTGCCATTTACTTATCATATCAACTTATGTACATACCAAATCAGTAATTTTCTGGAAATTCACACCGACAGTACAACTTGATATGTTTTCCCGACCAGCTGAGGAATGAATCAAAACGCTTATTTTCTTAGAACGAATTTTTGATGCACGATAACCAAACACAAATAGCAAAGAATCAATCACATTGCTTTTTCCGCTACCATTAGGTCCAATTATGGCCGAAAAATTCTGAAAGAAAAAACGACTGTACACAAAATGAGGGACAAAATATAAATTTCATATTCCACAAACTTTACATGTTTCAAGCTAAAACTAAATCCGTTCATTTAATTTATTCAAATTTCACCATATTATAATCGTCAGAGATTCCAGTTCCTCGAATGATATACCACAAAGAACTGATATCTGATAATGATGCCAGATTTATTACATTGAGCTACATCATACCTACATGAACATTGTGAATTAAGCAGAAAACAAAAATTCTAACCTACCTGATGGAAAGGACCCAAAACATGTTTACCATAATAAGACTTGAAATTTTCAACATCAATGCTAGTTATCATAAGTCGTTGTCCACTTCCATCGGCACTCATTATGGGCTCGGGCATCGGAGGAATTTCCATATTCAACAAATTCTGAAACAAAAATATCATCTTTCTGATATCCAACCTTTAGCATGTAATAACAAGCAACATAAACGACATAAAAGTTTTGAGTTTACATAATCATATGTCAAATTTTTGAGTTTATAATGCAACCAAATCGCTTGGAACTTATCATTACTATCAGCAGTTCCAAAAACTGTATGCAAAGTAGCTGAGGGAATCTCAGTATCAACTCAATGAAATACAATAAGGGTAATCACCTCTTCATTAACGTCATTACGAACTTGCGCCCGCAAATCTTCATCACTTTCTGCATCGGTACGTCCAGCACTACGTTTAATTGTTGCTGCAAAAAAGTAAATCTTCACGACAGTTGGATGATCCTATCTTACATTATATTTTGACACTTGGACTAACTCCATTTTTTGTCAAAATCCATCAAGATTATGCACAAGTTTTCATTAAGCTTGTCACGATGTAACTTTGCAAGTTTATAATTTCATCAATTAGCAGTATTTATGAATTAAAACAATTGATTTTTTCGGATGAATAACTAAAACAATTTTCAAAATTAATTTACAAATGTATACCATTTACCGCAGTGCTGGTATTTTTCCCATGTGACTGCGAAGCTGGGACTTTTTGAAGATCTTTCCTGCGATGCATTAGTTTGCAAGTGTTCCTAAGATGAAATCAAATTGAATTGCATGTTTACGCTTACAACTTCAATTGTTTCATGATATGACGAAGAAAAAACAGCAAATAAATAACTGAATGACTTATCAATTAATGCTGCTGTTATTCGCACAATACAAAAACGGTCGGACTTTTGATGCAATGTTTTAACCAGTTTCACACATTTCTACATCTCCAAATCGTGCTTCACGTACTCCCACTTACAACAAGAGGTATAACAAATGGAATATGCGAATTGGAAGTTTATCTCTGACAAATAATTCGATATCTACAGATAAACAAACTGAAATAGTAAAAGATTCCAAAGTAGACTTAGTGATATTCACGCAATATTTTGTCTCCAAATGTCACTTTAAAATTTGAATTTCCAAATATTTGAACAAATTCAAGCAATTTAACCTAAGAAGGTACTCGAATAACCAACAAAATACAGCAGAATAAACGTTGTATATCAAACAACTCATCTAATGGTGTTCATTGTTAAATTGGCGCCACATGTCCACTACGGTCGCTATTATCGTCGTCATCGTCATCCACGTTCAATAATTTGGATGACGTAGTGACGCAATGAAAACTTGAGAAATTCGTCGAAGTTTCACTTGCCATTTATTCAGGAAATTTGTTCGTGTTAATTGGTATTAATTATGGATGAGGGAAACTTTAAAAAATAAAAACAGGAAATTCTAAGCGAAATTTGATGCCTGTAAGACTAATAACTTCTACAAAATATTCACAAGAATGACTTTATTAAGTCTGAAATTAAAGCGAATCCAATCAGTATATATATGGAAAATCCCTTTAATTTGAAATTAAAAGGATTTTCCACATATACACTGATTTTGATCTTGTGATGACGAATATCAGTTCTTGTTCCGATAAATGATAACGAATATCAATTCCTGTTATGATGATGAAAGATTATCAATCACACTAAGTTGATATGCATGCGTGCATGCTTGCATGCATGCACAGTGCATTTTCTTGTTGATTCATCAACACAGTTAAAAACTTGCTCATTTTGGTCCACAAATTATTTCCATTTCATCATTTTTCAAGCATGTTTTTGTTTTTAGTAACATGTTTTCAATTATTCATTTTATCAGTTCTTCAATTTCATCACTCTTTAACACACCAATGGCTCTGATAAGCAACTCTGATTACCCTATTTGATTATCTTTTTTCACTCCTTTCGTACCATTTGTTGTTTGCAAATTTTGCTTTTACTTTTAAAACACTAGAAATGGAAACTTTCTGTCCAAACATTTGAATAAATTAGATATTTCTATTAAACGTTATCATAAACAATGATATTATCATCTTTGTTTACTCATTTTTGGTGTACGGTTTGTTGCATTATTCTTTCATTGTTTTTATACTTTTATGAAATTATATTTTCATGCACTTTCGAATTTCAGGAAGGTACCATTAAACATTAACATACTTTCCGGATAGGAGTTTGAATTTATATCTTGAAGTTTTCAAAAATGTTTTTAAAAATAATTTCGTCAATGCTTTCTGAGCATGTAATCTGAAAGCTAATTCTATTCAAAAGTCTTTTAAAAAGTTTCAGAATACATAAACGGGACTTCAAAAATTAGAAAACACACACACTCATATAAGTATATCTGTATGGGTTCCGGACAATAATTCAGTATCGTTTATAAACTTCGAAAATCGGTTAGATATTCCGGAAGTGCTATTCCGTTGCTATTCCGAGAAATGGCACACCGATTTGGAATCCAAAATCCATTGTTGCTAGTCGTTTACACATATCAACAAGAAAATGAAAAACGTTGGACCGGAGACTTTTTCATCGAAATCGACAAAAATAGTTGGTCTTTTAGATTTGCGTCAAAATTAAAACATTTAAAATTAAGTTTAAATTTGAAGTTTGTAAGTTAAATAAAACATTGGATTCGAAAGTTTTTTTAGTGTGAAAAATTTTGAAAATTTGATTAATGAAAAGAAATTTCGTTGTCTTCTCTTCTGTTTTGAACTATTTTCAACAAAGATCCACACATGTCATCACATGTCATCTAAAATAGTGTAGAGTGATTGAAATGTCTCAACTGGATATTTGCAGTTTTTTGGTGACAAGAAATTGAAGAAGTTCTTCCTAATATTTGCAACATTTCCATCCTTTGCAGTCTTCTATCCTGGATAATTTTATTCTTTTAATTGCTCATTAAACTCATTTAATTATCGATTATTTCCTTCGAATATTTCCTCCCAAGCATTTATACCTCAAATCCAATCACCTCCTGCTTTATAACTGAGCAAGAATAGCTTATTTTAATTCATTTTTTGTGAATCTGTAGGAAGAATTAACCTTCATCGCACTACAGATATAATACTGTATGATGCCGGTTACGGTATGCAAGCAGCAACCTGGAAACCATTTTCAAATGCGGATGCAAGCCATATCTTATTCTTACAGAAAGGTATTTGTGTTAATAATATCTTAACCTGAATAAGATAAATATCATGAACAACGACCCATTAAATCTTATTTCCATTTTCTTTCTTATCTACTCTAAATTTATAAATTTGTTAATATCTTTCGAAGAAATCCATTTCTCATCCAAATTAATTCAATTTTTGGTGCGCTTCACCGTTGGCTTAAATTTACCGGACATTATAGGGCCGCATGACATCATTAATTATAAATTACACTGCTTGTGCCCGAGGAAGTACACGCCTTACGTTGAAATTTCAAGTAATTCCGGAACTTTGGCTCGTAATTTTCGTAAAAAAATCCGAATCCGTACCGATAGTAGCACTATTCGTGATGCAGAATTCAAAATGTTTATCGGTAATTTCAATCACTTTTTAAACATTGTAAAAGTTTAATTCTTATTTAATGATTGTGATAAGAGATGTGATAAGAAATAACAACTGAGAACAGACAAGCTGTTCTTGAATGATATGAAAATCAGTCGGTTGTGATAGTAATTAACTTGAAAAAATTCCAAATACGGAAGCAAATTTTTCAAATGCATTTTAATCATCGATGATGACATGAATTGGCTCAAATTTTACACTAATTAATATTGAAATGTCCCTTCACTTCCATTTATAGGTATTAATTGCTTCGTAAAAATAAAACTGAAAAGATGCGCGGTAAAAAGTAAGTATTTTTTATTGTGTATTAAAGAATTTTCGAATCTAACTTTAATATAACTGAAAAAAATATTACTTGGAAATTTGCAAGTTTAGAAGGAACGACAAGAGGACAAATGACGAAATCACTGCTAAATTCCTTTCCACCGCCATACGCTCTGCCAAAAACACTTGAAAATTACTTAAAAGTTAGCCTAAATTTTACATAATTAACAAATTAATTTTATCTGATCAATCAATTTTAATTTCGACAAAAGAATGGTGAAATCCTTCGATTAAAAAATTGGCTTGAAATGAGCCTATTTTTGTCATGTTTAAATTTAAAAAATTAAAATTTATCCAAAATTAAAGGGTATTGGATATGTAGAAGTAATAGACGGGATAGAATGTAATGAATCAGACAGGAAATCATTTATGAAACGACTGATATCAATGTTAATACCATTAATTCTGCATGCGACACCGCCAAATTTTCTAAAATATGACAAGGATGGTGTCAAAATCCTTTGGGAATCCAAGAAACAAAGTTTATATTCCTCAATTTTGAATCTTCATATTCATTTCATATCATATAAAGAGTAGTTTGTTAAACTTTTCAACAATGTTACTGAGATGAATACTTTCATGAAAATACTTCCATAATTTTTGTTTTCTTCATCGGCTCTTTTGTCACTATTAATAAAACTTTTCAGGAATGGCTCTAACGCATCAATATGTTGAAATGTTTAAACAAAAAGTAATTAGCAATTATGCTTTAAAAGATTGTAATAACACTTGTTAATTGATCAAATCACTTCATTTGCTCAAATTATTACTTTCGTAATTTCACGAAAAATTTCTTTGTTCATTTCTAAAGATTACAATAATTCTCGAACTTTTTCACAGAATCATCGAATGGCAAGTCTTATTCTTCTTCTCTAATAAACTCTTTAAAATAACAATGATGATAAATTGAAATAATTTTTTATGAATTATATAAGGTACACTTTAAAAGACTGAACAATGAATGGAATGTTTCAACAAAAAGTAATTAACAATTATACCAATTAAGCACTTCAAAGCATAGATAAATTTGCATAATTAAGACAATAATAATAGATAGCAAGCAATAAGTTATCAAATTTCTCAGAGGAAATGATTCATCATAAAATAGATCATCAAAAAGGTAAATCTTAAAGGTAAAATTGTTCTAAATTTAATCATTTAACAAACATACTTTATAATATCTAGCTACTATTTATTATGATGCAATAAACTTTGTAGTATTCATAGCTAACTGTTTGATCAACTTCAATCAATAAATCACATAAAAATTAGAATAAATTAAATTAATGATTGGATAATAAAGACATATTTAATTTTGACAAATAGAATCAGTAGGGGTTTCTTTCTTCGACACCAAGAGGTCATAACTGCCAACTTCTAACTTTAACCTCATATTCATTGACATCCGCATTTCCGAAAGAAGCGCTTCCACAATTCGTCGCATTCTTCTGGTGGGTGACATTCCTACAATAGCATTTTTGAACCAACTGATCTATGCAGTGCAACCAATCATTCTGTTCAGAGTTGTCGACAAATTTTGGTCCCCATGCAAATCATAAGGTAACTCAATGTCACAGAGAGAAAGAGAGAGAGAGAAAGAGAGAGGGACACTTTCAGGACACTTAATTATTCTTTCAAATTATCAAACATAATGCGTAGTCCTATCACTCTTTTGATGATTACTAAAATGTTATGCAAAACTGACTTTGAAGACTTTTTTGATGCTACTTTCATCCTTTTGCTCAGTTCCATTGATTCTTATCATAGCTGATGTATCATTGATATTGTAGATGCGATGGGTGATATCACTTCCTCTCTTATCACTTCCCTTATCAGCTACTTCGGTGACATTCACTAATCTCTTCATGGTATTCTCTACGTATCCCAATGTAGCATTCATTAAATTCTTCATCGTATTCTCTGTAACATATCTCAATGATACCATTAATTAATTAATACAGATTCTCAATTTTATATTAATTAATACTGATCCTTAATTGTATATTAATTAATACAGATTTACATCAGTGCTTTTGAAGTTTAGATATCATTGGTAACAGCTTATAAACTTTACTAATTTTCCACTGCCTTTAATTACTATAAAAACGAAATCATTTATTAATTAATAAATATGATTACGATTAATTAACACAAAACTATTTATTAGTTAACGTAATTTTTGGTTTTATTTGCGTTTTGGTAAGTATTCCTTTGCAATATCAAATGTTGAAAATAATAAAATTATTTATGCATAACTTGCCGAAAGAATTTATTGATTCCGCAAATCCTACACTGAAAGATGATTGTTTTTCAGTTTTACTTGCTTTTGGTAAACATTCCTTTGTAATATTAAATGTTGAAAACAACAATAAAATCTACAAAGAAAGATTTCATTAGTGATAAGAAAAATTTGAATATCAAAAATGAAAAAAAAAAGTTCCTGTAATTGGATATAAATTATTAAATAAGAATTCGATCAAAAACATTTCTCTTTCTTTTATGGAATTTTTTTTTTTTTTGCAATTCAAATATCAACGAACTATTACTAATTACTTTATTTAAATCTTCCAATTCAAAGGATATGTGCTAATGTTGAAATTAACAATTTGCAAAAATTTATTCAGTTATTCTTGAAAAATTAATTGGTAATAAGAAATTTACATTTTCTAAAATGAAGAGATAGAAAAGAAAGAAGAAAAAACGATACCGTTATAATGAAAGCAGCCATTAATTGTCTAGGAGAAATTGTCGTATAATTGAAGAGCAATGAGGATAATGATACATGACCCGTAAAAAGCATCTGCTATTATCCACTTGACCTCAAAATTATATCCATCATCTAGCGGTTATGTTTTATTGATTGCTGTATTATCGACAAAATCTATCATCGAATGGGAATGAAATCATGATTGAAATGCAGCAAAATAAATTCGATTCGAAAAAATTCTCAAAATTTATTAAAATATTAAATGTTAAGATATTTGTTTTAAAATTTTGTAATATTATCAGAATAAATTGATAGATTTGCCAGGATTGATAATTATTATTAGCTATAAAAAGAGGATGAAACAATAATAGCATTCTTTTAAACTTTTTAAAATTAATTTTTTTTTCGGCATGATAAAAAAAATTTTTAACATATCGTTGATAATTCATAGAAGAAATCTTTTTTTTTAATTAATGATAAGAGTTTTGCTGCAATTAATTCAATTTTTCTTATCAATCATTATTAGTCATTGTTAACTAAAATGTTCTGTCATCTTGATGCTTTTCCATAGCAATGCTAATGAAGGAGTTGCTTGCTTTCACGTGATACGTTATCAATGTATCACATATCACGTATTTCGATCAATTGTAGAAAACAACAAAAACATCGAAAGAATCGTTTTGGAAAATCGATTATTTTGCAAAATTATCATATATCCGATGGGATTGAAGACGAGGGAATACTTTCTAATACGAGTTGAAAGGTCAATTGAATCCAATGTCTAATGATGAAGTTGGAGGTGAATGTTGTCTATGGGGACAAACTTTTACCATATTTAAGGTTTGGTTTTTTAATCTTTTGTTTCAAAACTTCTATACATACTCTTATTTTAGATAAAAGAAAGTCGTATAGTTTGTCGTATAGGTCACAGTTTGTCGTATAAGTCATACAGTCGTACAGTTTTTGTCGTATAGGTCGTACAGTTTGAATCATATCATTTTGTTTTATCATTTAATTGAAATGATATAGTCATATTTAATGATATTTAATAAAAGTATTAACAAATGTTGTAATGATGAGATGAGAAAGGATATGATCAATGATTGCTCGGTGCAAAATTTTTTATACGATACGGTAAGCTTTTATTAAACATAAATTTTAATCATTTCCATTTACTTATGATAAAATCCATCGAATAAAATTGCAAACCGGAATTCCTTTTTTTCTGGAATGTAAAACAAACTAATATTTGAAGGTTAAATTTACATCTTTCTTTTCCAATACAGTATTCAACTTCCTATTTTCATAAATGATGATATCATCATTTCGAGAGGATTCTCAATTCATTTTTCAATTCGATTGAAAATTTCCTGAATAATGAACGATGAATAGCAAGCTTATAAGATAAATAAACGGTGCTATTGTAATAGCTCTAATTGAGACGATAAAAATAGTACTGATAGCATTTAAAATGTAAATTTTTATACCATCCCAAACATATTCATCTATCGATAGCATTTACATCATAAGAAATTCCGCTCCATTATAGCAAATTCGCAAACTTTCCATTTTCTGGATGTATTGAATAAGGAATGACAGCGAAGAGGACACCGGTCAACGGATATATTGGTCAATAAGTTAGATGAGGAGAAGGTCAAGACGTGAAAACATTTTACGTTTACTGTCTATTTTTAGTGGTCTTCAAAATCTTTTATTATATATCAATAATGTTTGTTTAAAATAATTTATGCGCAGTTACAAGCAATTGCATGTATTTAATAATTGCCCTAAATTTGCATATTTTTCCGAGCTATAAGCAATTAGCAGAGAAATTTATATTTTGCGTTTGTAATGATAGTGATAACGATGATAATGATAATGATGATTATGTCTAGGAAGGTATTACACAATAATAGGTGTTCAAGTAAAGAAGGATAATGTTGACATGTATTGATGATCACAGTGTTAGCTGATAATCATGACAATAATGACAAATAAGGAAGGATAGTGTTGACATGTATTGATGACCACAGTGTTGTTAATCATGGTGCCTGATAATCATGGCAACTGTGTTTTCTTTTCTTTTAATGATAAATGCTGTATGGTGAGGAAATATAAGATTCGAATATTGTGGTGATAATTTTGATAAAATCATATGAAAATTTAATAAAAGACAAAAAATTTCACCATTTTAACAATAGTAATTATAAAGATGTGGACAATGGTCACATTTGTTAGAATAAAAGGTTCGTTTTTGTTCATTTAGAGAATAAATTCCCATACCTTTTCCTTTTCTTCTTTTTATTCTAGAATCTTTAGGTAGATTGAAACAGTCCCTTTATTATCAGCAAATCAAGAAGGATTCAATGATAGTATTTGTCGTATTTGCGATAAAAACATGAAATGTGAAATGATAATATGAAAGCGAAAAATTTCAACATACTTCATCGAAATTCTTCTGAAAATAATAGCAACTGATTCGTCGTAACTTTCAGAATGATACCTTTTGTCAATTTGCAATTGTCTCTGATTGCACATTGATTCATATTTTAGGAGAATGTAAATTAGAGGTTCAAAAAAAGGTCAGCCTTTTGTCATTTGCAATTGACCATCGTTTATAATTCAATTAGACTTCTCCAACTGTGACAATATGTTTTAGTTAAAGTGTGGTCAGTCAATATTCTGCAAACTACAAATCGCAAAAATGAGAGCAAGTTTTTATTTCACAGTTTGTACAGTTAAGAGAGGTATTTTTCGTACACATTCTCAAATGGTCATCTACGAAATCTTGGTTGGTCATTTGTGAAATCTGTAAGAATTCGGTAGTAGCAAGTAACTGGAATGATATATTCACTTGCTGCTTGAAAAGTTGAAATTATTTATTTTAATACTTGATTAGTTTATAATTAATTTCAACTTTTAATTACTTGAAGATATCAGCGAATGTGATGGTTAGCTTTCTAATTGAATTTAATTTACGATTGTAGACGACATCTTTTGTTTATTATAACTATGCTTAGTCTTTTTTTTCTTACTTCAAATTACAAATTCAATCATTTTTTGTAGTCCCTTCAATTTAAAAATTCAAATGAGCTGCTCAAACATCAAACATATCAATAATTTAATCACTTAAAAAAAAACTTATCAGTTGCAAGGCCTAACCAATCTCTTATCATTTCAAATGATCTAAAATAATTGGACAATAAAATACTCCTGTAGATTAAATCAAATTTTCCCACACCTTTTTACTTTTGGAATGCAAATCCGTATCGGAAGAGTATGCAATCCGGTACACTGATCAGAAGAGCGGATCAAAGTTAGGTGGTATTAATCCTTTGCTCCTTTTCTAGGTAACCTAGTTTGTCACATTACTTTGAAATATCAAATCAAAGTTTAATATTTCAAGTTTTACAAATTACTGAAACTTTCGGACGGTAGTGAGATGATTGCTTTTAAACTTCGAAATAAAATAAGAGAAATCTAAAATTTAAACAAATCCCATCTAAGCTGTTAAGTGTTTTTTAAATTGTTTTCAAATTTAGAAAAAGTGAAAATGAATGTTTTTAAAATTGTAAAATTGCTGAATAATTCTTATCATACAATCATCGTACTGTAATTTCGACTGCATGCTTCCCGAATAGTGCAATGATTTTGTTAAATTTTATGATTTTATGATTTTAACTTTGGTGGCAAAAAAACTTTCAAATAATCGATTGGCATCAGTTAAATGCAAATTTCACTGTGAAATTCTAAATTAGTGAATAATAACGTAGTTTTTTTCCACCGATTTTCTTCAATCGCTTTTGTTTTCATCAAAAATTTTTTTTATTAGAACCTCTAATGAATTGCTAGAACTTTAAGTTCAAAATTTTCAATCGACCAATTCGTTTAACTTCCAAAATTTTCATTTAAAAAATAAAACTCGAAAGAATTCAATTCAAAATCAAAAAGGGTTTTCAAATTTTAATTACTGCTATTATTATCAGAAATCAAAAATAGTTTTTGCAAAAAATATTTGTATTAATTGCAAAGTAATTGAGAAGAACTTTTTAATGAATATAGTTATTTTCATCTTTGATCACATTCTCCGATCGCTTTTATCACTGATTATTAAACATTGCAAATAATCAATTCTGATTATTGATCGCTTATTCGATTCATAATTTCTGTTCTTTTCAATGCTTGGAAAAATGAATTTATTGTGC